AAGAACTTATTTAGATAAATTAAATTATTTAACTTCTGTTGATAATCAAAGAAATTGGAGATTTAGATTCGAAAGTGCTAAGTAAGTTTATTTAAGATTATTTACCTTTTTTTTTTCTATACCATTTCAACATTCAATTTTATTTATCTATTCAACAATAATTATATGAACTTTTTTCAATTTATATATTTTTTATCATGAAAATCTCTCTCTCTCTCTCTTATCTGATATAAAATGTTCGAAAGTTTCATATATTGAAATGAGTGTTATCCATAAGTAGGTAGAGATATCCAGTAGAGAAAAACAATTTCAAGTTAAACAAGTACAAAGCTATTATTTGTTGGTAGACTATTTCGACTGACTGATTAGTTAAATATGGTAATCTTTGTTTTCTCAGTTTTCATCAATCAGCTTCTCTCCTTCAGACTACGAAACTCGAATTTTGACAATTGAGATAATTTAGAAAAATTTTTCAACATATTCTTTTTTAGTTTGTTAATGAATCTTTCGAGTTGTTCTAGACCCTAGAAAGAAAATGACTTTATCGTTTTATTTGGTTGTTCGAATAAATTCTCTTTATGCTTTTTATTCTACTTATTTCAATATAAAGTGAAACTATTCTTTAGTAAGAAACGTTTTTTTTTTCTTTTCAATTATTTCGAATATAATATAAAATTCTTCTACAGTTTTGAGTTTATATAAAAAAAAAAAAGATATTTAAGATAAGTGAATAATAAAAAAAAAAATCTGTTTATATTATTCTAATTAAATAATCAATTAAAAAAGATGTTGAATAGATAATATTCTTATTTAAAGATAAATTATTTTGTCAAAATAGTTATTTATTATGATTATTAATAATTATGTTAGAATATATAATATATTATAATATTGATTTATTTTATTTTATTTAAAATAAAAAAATTTCTTTCTATTTACCTTAAACGAATTAAATCGAGATAAAACTTAAAAGAAATTTTCATCTAAATAAACATGTTCGAATATTTTTAAAAATCGTTTCATAACTGATTTTATCATTTTTTTATCTTAAATAAATCTAAAGTTCTATCTATCGAATAAATATTTAAGATCATAGATCAATTAGTTAGAATTTGTTTTAATCGAACTATAATCAACAAGTTTACCTTTTAGAGTTTTATCTATTTTATATTTATTTATTAAAATTCAATTTTATTTCATTTATATCTCTATTATCATCATTTATTTATTATTTTATCATTCGACTAGAAATATATTTATTCTCTTTCAAAAGAGAAGAATTTTGTTTTTTTTTTTGTTTTGTTAATGTTTTCTATTAAATATAAAGTTAAATCGGAAATGAAAATATAATTTAAATGATTAAAATAATGAAACTCTATAATAAAAAGTATGGATACTCTTTAAATAAATAGTTCGAAATTGGAAATAAAATTTGTTAGTCTTAATTGTAGAGATTGAGAATAAATTTATCTTTATTTTTTAATATAATAAATAAAAAAGTAAATAGTTAAATGAAATTTTTATTGATTAAACTGTATATATTTGTTTATTAAAGTCAATTATATGAATTAACTGAATTATTTTCATCAGTGGATGTTGGTGATTATATAAGTCCTCTTGGATTTGGAATGGCTGTTGATAAAGTAGCTGATGTAAGACATGCAGCTATTAAAGCGGTAAATTTATTATAAAATATTCGTGTTTTTTCAATATTATATTAAATATTCTTTTTAGTTATCTGGTTGTTATTCAAAATTTAATTGTGAAAAAGCTCAAGTTCAAACCGAAGTATTTCTTGATGATTGTCATCGTGTATTTGCTTCATCACAAGATTGGAAATTACGTCAAGTTTATATTTATTTATGTAAATCAATATATAAATTAAATGTTGATAGACCTGATCAATATGCATTAAGATTTATTGGAAAACTTTTATCATTAAAAGAAGATCCTGTTGTCAATGTTCGTCTTTCACTTGGAACATTTATTTATCAATATTTAGTTAATAATGGTAATTTTTTCTTTTTCTTTTTCTTTTTCTTTTAAATTAATTTTGATTTATTTAAGAATTTTATATTGGTTTATCAGATGATTGGAGAACTCAAATAGATGAATGTCTTCAAATCTTATTAGTTGATCGTGATCGTGATGTACGTGCATCTGTTGGAGGAATTTATCAACCACGTCAAACTGATTTATCATCCGAATATTCAAATGATCATTCAGATAGTTCAATACAAAATAATACAATTACACTCGGTGATCAATAAATAAATCAATCTTAACTATATTAAATACATTTTCATTTATCTTTCGTATGTTTTCTCATTTTAATATCATTTATTTATTTATTTATTTATTTATTTATTTATTTATTTATTTTAGTCGACTATATTAAATGATTATGTTTTAATAAAAGGACATATTATTTTATTTGTTCGAAAACAAAACAAGAATAAATTGACATATTTGTTTAAAGTCGAATGTTAAAAGGTCTTTATTTGTTTGTTTTTCATGTTGATTATTTCTTTATTTTATTGTTTACATCAATAAACATACAAACAGCCACAGATTATTTTCAATAAAATTAGTCTAGTTTATTTAATCAACATATTATTCACATTTATTATTAACTATTTTACTTTTATATAGAATTATATATTCAATAGATCTATCATAGTTAACGATTAAACAACTCAACATCTATCAATCACCAACTTATTTTAAAAATAACAATAAATAATCACTACTATACATTTCAAAATAGAAGCCGACTGATTCCGAGTTGAATAACTTGGGAAAGGAAGCATCTATGGAGCTGCTATTTTCACTATTCAATACCGGATACCGAACCACCTAAATCTATCAAATATTTTCATTGATCAGTAATGGACTAATAGGATGAAAGTCCGCTCAACATTTTCAAGATAGGTTTTTGAGTGCTTTTTTTCTCAGATTTTCAACTTGAATTAAAATATTCGATAGAAATAATTCTTCTCTTTCGATCCAGACAAGGTCGAATTCGATAGCTTCCTCCCTTCCATAGTTATAAGCATTTTCCTGAGACCCTCGAAATCGGTCAAATGACGCAGAATCATCCTTAAAACCATAAGATAATAAATAATTGACTATGCTCAACTCAATGTTGATGTTTGTTTTTCATTTCAATCTAATCTGAAATCATTATAAATAAATGTGGAAACCTCGGATTTAAATCCGAGAGTTATGTGTACT